TCAGTTTCATGAGCTCCCGAAAGTTACCCTGATTAACAGAGGTAGCTTCCTCAGAGTGACCTCGAAAAGCTACATTCTGGAAGGAGCAGAACAACAAGGCCTTGCAAACGGTCTTGATGTACATACGATTCTCCAATAAGGTACTCTCGTCGTGTTTGGCAAGAAGAGCCGAGACCGATTGTTCTTTCTCTGCAGCAGCCTTCCACGTTGCCCACCTCACCATCGCCTCCTTGTGACCGGCGCTAGCCTTATGAGCGTTCAGTTTTTCAACGCCCTTCTTGAAGTTACTGAAGCCAGAGGACACGAACGAGCCATTTGGCGGACCGAAACCGGCAGCTGCTGGTGGGTAAAAGAAACGGCAGGCGAAGCAGTATGCCTTATCGGTAGATCTGCTCCACTCGAGCCAAGGATTACCAACATACCAGTCAGCTTGGAATGGACGCCCTTGTGCGTTCGGTAAAAAGCCGGCCTTAGGTTGCAAGGGCTCACCGGACTTGGACTCAGCAATATCGGCGGGTACCTCGCCACTCGGGTTACCAGCAGGCCTAGCGCGCTTAGAGCCTTCCAAAGGCTCCTGACCTTCACGGACGCGCTTCATCATCACGGCAAAGGCAGATTGAGCAGAGCTGGATGAGGAGGACATTTCGCAAGTTTACAATGGAGTACTTTAAGTGTCAATGAACACGCACGCATGTACATTGCGCAATCTACACGCATGCGCAGTAACATTTTTTAATAAATGGTAATTTCGGAGTGAAACTTTCCAAAACGAAAAAATAAAAGAATTTAGTAGGACCCTCTGTGGTCTTAGCTCGCCCCTATCCTGCCCCCCCCTGGCGCACAGGACGAGATACGCCACTGATAGACATGTAGGGAGGACTTTTGTTCGGTCGCTCCAGTGGAATTCCAACGTTCCTACGAACAAGAAATGCTTTGAGATCCTCGTCTTCAGTTCCTCATCAAGAACCTGCAATGAGTATATGAGTATAGACTTCAATAAGGGGGTTTTGAAACTTGGAGTATTTGTCTACTGCCAGCATCGGTATGTTACACCGTATAACAACCTCGGCATCATCATCCACGAGATACGTCCATAGTGCAAAATGCACTTGTGGATTCATGTCATGGGACAGGGTTGACTGTACATGCTCTGTCTGTCATCCGGCTGGTTGTGTGAAGATAAGTCCTCCGCTCGATTACACACTTCTCCCCGACTTGCCCATGTGGTGTACCGTGTAGACCCACCAGCACTTGTCGTCGTGAGACTATGAAAGTAACTTCCTGCTTATGTGAAGGAGCCCGGAGTATCGATCCCCTACACCGACATGACATCGCTCGTGCTGATCCTGTTTCCCGGTCAGTAATGTTTTGTTGCACAGTCTAGAGCTTATTAGTGATACAGTGTAAATGTGTACTTGACGCACGCTTGTTTTTAGAGGCGCGAATATCCAATATCATCTCAGCGTAGTTCGAGAGATTAATGTGTTTTTCTTCTCATCGACACGATAATGCAAGTTAGGATGTGGTTGTGAAAATCCGTGAATCGCTTCACGACGTTCCATGTCCACTCGAGTTATTATGGTTCATTCTATCGAAAACGTGTGTTCGAGAAGTCCCCAAGGAAGATATTGTTCTCTCATATTGAAATCTTCTAATACAAGTCGTGTTCATTGACAATAGCACATCAGGAGTAGAGGCTACATATGAGGGGTAGTGTTGCAACGTGATAACTGCATCGACGATAACTGCAATAAGGTGTGATGGAGAGTTACTTACTGCAAACGAGCGGGGTCGGGAGCTGGCCCACATTCCCCTTGCAGTGTCGAGGCCTTCGTTCTTCGATCTGGGTAGAGGGGACTCGCATCGTTTACTGGCTAAGTCGTTTCGGAATAGGCTGCGACCTCGAGTTTCGGCATCTGAATGAACGAGTGGTTACCTCAGTATTGAGGGGGCGTACTATCAGCGCCGGCTCGTAGGAGTTCATCTCGCCACGTTATGGGAATTCGAGTGAATCTTGGGAAGTATCTTAGCGCGAGATATGACACGAATGAGGTGATGATAGTGTCAATACGGATCATTGTAGATTCCACCCACATAGAGACCGTGAGTGGTGTTCAAACATGTATTGAAATGATGGGAAATGTCGTGACGAGCCGGGTAGCCACCACCACCGAATGATAAGGACATAGCAAAGAGGACACTTAAATGTTCCATGACAGTTCACGAGCTCTGGTACCCTACATGATGAGGGCTGCCAGGGAAGATGCACATGACGAACTACATGTGTTGGTGACAGTATGAAAAAATTATGAGAAAATTTGAGAGAATTATTGCCGATTTCTGAACACTCCTCGCCGAATTCGTATGTAAACTTCTATGCTTCATGGAATTCCTCAGCTGAGCTGAGGAAGGCGAGCATATATTCCAACACTGGCGAGTCATGGGTAGAAGCCCTTTCTGGAATTGCTTCGAAATCTGAGGTAAGATAGTTGCTCGAGAATTGAGGAGACAGCGAGAATACAAGATTATGTTGGGCAGACGAGACATTTCCGGGAAATGCCCGAAAAGGAAATGATTTCCAGCAAGCATTTCGAAGTGTTATGTTTCTGATACCGAGGTCGTTGCCGCATATACACAAGTATGATGCCATGCCACATTTGATAGGGGTATAAGTAATAAACAATCGTCTATATGTTCATGTGCTTCCCTTGGCGCTAAGTTCTACCCTCCTGAAGTGCTGCGAGCCAGGTAACAAGTGTTTCGACAAGTGGGCCAACCACACAGGTGGCCCACCCGTAGTTTCAAGAGCTTGCAGTTGCAACTTGCAAGCCCCCACCCGGGCTAAGAATAATATTATTCTAACGTGGCAAACGGTAGAGCACCGCGCTAGTCACATGTAGGGCGCAGGTTCTACCACTGTTCCTCACAAGTAGTTCTTTATGCACATCCCCAGGTCTGAGGGATAGTCTCTTTTCGGTGGTTGTTGTTGCTGATGGTCTCACCTTTCCTCCTTGTGCTGAGGGAGAACTCGCTACGATGGGGCTACCACCTGAGAGATGATGTGAAGTTTGTGTGTTGATGAGATCTATTATCCTTATGTCGATATATCTGTGCGGTCTGCACGCATACACATCGTGAACTGTATGTGTGCAGTACTCCGCGTGCTTTTACTTTTGTACTTTTGTACGAAACGGTTTTGGTGGTGTAAAAAGGTGTCGTCGCGAAGTATTGATTCCTCGACCATTCGGAAGGATCCTTCGACGTGAGTCGATTGAGTACGCGGGCCAAGGTAGAGTGGATGATTGTGTCGCGCACAGGGAAGAATTCGGAGTAAAGATATGTAAGAAGTCGAGATGTGTTCGTTGAGTATCTAGGATCGTTCAAACTAAAGGCTCCGGGGTCGATTCTCGGAGAGGGTACTTCCGCAGATGCAAGATGGCGTACCCTTTCGAGTTGGGTTAGAACATGATGAGGTCGAAACCGTCATATCTACGGACTCGGGTACTCCACGTTTCTATTCAATAGGATATGGCAAGCACGACGTTGACAACTACTTAAAGTGTATTTGTCACTATACGTTCATTGTAAACGGCTTGTGTTGCGACTATTATACAAGTGTGTTTATAGTTCTGGTCGCAATGATGGTATCCACCACCGACTTGCCTAGTCCGCCTGAAGTTCTGTTGCAAGGTGTATGGGATGAAGTACGAGCCGTTGACCAGTGGGGAGATATGCACGTTGTGTCGCATATCATCTTTCCATCGGTAAGATAGAAATGTCGAGCCTAGGAATCGAACCTTGGGTCTCCTCAGATCTGGGCAAGTGTAGCCTTCGTTCTGGTATGTCTTTATTTCACCTTTTTCTATGATATACCTCGCATGATGAGGACGAAGATTCAAGTGAGGTTCACAAAGATGAGATTCCCTCTCCAACAGAAATTCCCCCCCTCCCATTCAGCCGTCCAAGTGGCCTACGACGAGGGATATCATTATTGCTTCGATTCCCCAGGTCCAGATAGGTTAACATGCTACGGCGACAGAGACCCTTGTTTTCAGACAACTATTTACGTCGTGATGAATGGTTTCTTATTTTACTATCTTGACACACATGTACATCTGGTGAAAGAGGCTCCCAGTCTGTTGCAGTTCACAAAGGAGCTTATGGCTTGCCTTGTGAGAAGATGCTCTCCCCCACGACGCGATGGTATCATTTGTGGTGATCTCTCAGGTTGTCGGCGATTTCTGCATTTATTGGTATCATAGGTGGATGCACGCAGTACCTTTCTTACTACGTAATGTCCACGGTGTTCATCATGGCTATCGCGCTGTGTACAGCTGGGCAGGAGGCATCCTACACCCTATGGAAGATGTGAGTTCAACTCCTCTGTGTTATACACAAGTAATGTCGGCCTGCTGGTAGATCTGCGTGGTGGCATGTAACATATGGTATCCTTGGTTGTTCCAATGTCATTGGCTAACAGTGAATGCCTTTACATTTATATGGACGCTAAACTTGATCGAAGAGCACAGTGGTCATGATGTGTGGTAAGCAGTGTTGGAGTAGGAATATATGTTCGCTTTCCTCAGCTCAGGAGTTTCCAAAGCTGATTATATGAGTTTCTTTACGAACTCGGATAGAAACGAACAGGAACTAGAAAAATTTCCAAAATTTTCTCCGGATTTTTGGGTAGTTACTAACACATGTATCTGTCCATGTGCATATGTCCTACTGGTGGTAGTCAGTGTTGTCTGCTTCGCCCCCAGTATATATTACTTGTAGTGCACCCTCTCAGGTGGGCACCCTACAACCTACTTCCGTTTAATCTCGGAGGTGGAGCTGCGGTAATAGTAGTAGTAGTAGTAGTAGTAGTAGTAGTAGTAGTAGTAGTAGTAGTAGTAGTAGTAGTAGTAGTAGTAGTAGTAGTAGTGGTAGTAGCAGTAGTAGTAGTAGTAGTAGTAGTAGTAGTAGTAGTAGTAGTAGTAGTAGTAGTAGTGGTAGTGGTGGTAGTAGTAGTAGTAGTAGTAGTAGTAGTAGTAGTAGTAGTAGTAGTAGTAGTGTCTCTCACAGGTACATGACCTTCATCATTCAACTAACACACGTAAGAATTTCTCGTTCATATTCAATGGGTGGGATATTCTGTTCAACACAGCGATACCAAGTGAGCATTCTCCATGTGGAAAGTAAGCATACAGTGTTGAAAACACTCGATGAGATAAGTTCCTCAAAAATAGGTATGTTCATGTAACCTTACTATTCGTGGTCATGCTTAGCAGCGCCATCGCCTATGAAGAGAGGTAAAAAAAGCTCAAGTTTTTATTATAAGGGTCGATGATACTAGCCCTCATTGGATGTTGTTATCATTGGTGGTTTGTTCAGATGTCTACCCTGGGCATGGGCTCGAGGCATCTGTCTTGTGACGAGCTCTCTAATCTTGATGTCTGTAGCCCTTCCGACTCCGTACCTGCATCGCAAGCATCAGGATTGATCTCAGACTTTCCCATGGTTTAGTTATCATCACTAGCATTGTAGTGTTGAGGATCCGCTATGGTCAGTCAGATGTTCTCTCACCATGACTGAGGTCCGCCCTTCCTCATCGCCGTGCGCCCATTCAAGTGACAAAGTTGAGACTAGAGTAACGTGGAAAGGAAGATCGATAAAGTTGTGGACGTGATAGCACCATCACTACTGTAGAGGAGGAGGAGGAGGAATGCGGTATCGTGTATAGGTATGACCAGCTGGAGCCTCTCAAGGGGAGCACGATTCAACAACGTGCGAAGGACTTGAGGTCTTTGGTTGGACCTCATCTGAAGTGTTCCAGGATACCCAGGAGTAACATAGGAGCGATAAGGTAAGTATATAGAGTAGTGAGGTTGGACGGCATCGTCGACGTGTATTCAGGTGGATTCTGGAATTGCAGGCATACTTGTGCGATAGAAATGCATCGGACTTTGGATATCCTAGGAGCATCTATAACCCTTCACGGTGGGAGATGTCCAGTCGTTTGGCTGCTGACATTGAGGTGAGATGCAGTGGACGAGTGGTATGTTGGTTATACACTGAGGGATTGATATGATAGTAGTCGATATCGTATAGCCAGTTCAAGGTGTGGTCATTCAAAAACGTTTTATCATAATTTTCATAACCGTATGAGTATGGTATTCATCACTCGCGCATCCTACATGTGAACTCCTATTGCAGTGTTGGGATTTATGTTCGCTTCCCTCAGCTGAGCTCAGGAGTTCTCTCACTAAGTATAGGAATTCGGGAATATGTGTGCAAGAACCGGAAATTTCCCTAGCAATTTTCATATAGTCACCAACACATGTAGTTGACCATGTGCATATCCCCCTACTGTTCTGTCGGCTCCTCGAGGTCTGTTCTGAAGTCTTTTGAATTACTATCGACATGGCTTGGCTTGGAGCTGTTATGTTGAACGTTCAGGAACTACAGTGTATTCCACCACGATCGGGGTCTATCGTGGTGCCCGCCGAGATTGATGCAAGTGATCACGTCCCCACTCATATCTTTCAAGAAGCCTCACACAATGAGGGTGTGTCCGGGCAAGAGGTTTCCGGGACGGTGACGGGCGTAGCTCTTCCGCCTTGGATGACCAGTCACATGGTGACACAGGGGATGAGTGTCACACCAAGAGAGAAGGCTAGGGGCAAGATGAAGACGAGGAACACGTGGACGGCCCTGAGGGGTACGATAACACTGGGAGCCATAGATGACGTCTCTCGAGAGGCCATGCAACAAGAAGAAGAGCAGGCTGTAGTCGTATCTCCAATCGTCGATGATGCCACCACTCAGGACGATCAGCAGCCCCCTACAGCGGCATGTGGGGGTGGGGTCGGGGTGGGTCCAAGGGTAGGAGGTAGGTTACATTACTCGCCCACGGTAGCTGGGTATCATGACCATTTCGATGATATTGGTACGGCTCAGAGTGATGCTCATCATGATGTTGGTGGGGGTAGCCGACTCCACCATGGGGCCACTCAGGAAGGCTGGCATGACCATTTGCAGTGTAGTCTGGAGCCGAAGATTAAGGACGTTCCCAAAGTGAAGTTGCACGGCTCGCCCACACAAGAGGGTTGGCACGATGATTTCGACATGGTCGTGGCGCCTAAGGTCGAGGCGATGGCGAAGGGGAAGCTGGGAGGGTCAGCGGACCAGGAGGGCTGGGTTGATCATATGCTCCTACCAGGAGTTTCAGACAGACCAGCATTCATTGACCCTGAGAAGCGACATGGTGGTAACGGCAGCACTCTGGTTGATGACCATTTCGAATCGCTGGGTGTGCCCAAGTGGGAAGACGTGCCTGGACACAGGAGGATGGGCACGCCCCTTCAGGAGGGCTGGGTTGATAGTTGGCGTTCTGAGAAGGAGCTTCGACCGTCTAAGAGGTTTTATAGCGATGCTATGGTCAAGGGCCGACGGGACCACTTTGAAACCTTTGGTACGGTCAATTCGATTCCTGTGATGAGGGGACGTCGGGTAGCTCCTGAGACTGCAATGGCTTATGATGATCACTTTATATATTCTGGTGAAGTTGCTGGTGATGGGTCTAAGCTCATCCGACGGAGGCCGTCTACACCGTTGATAGACCCGAGGTGGAAGACGGATAGAATGGATACTTCTTGGACCAGGAGCCGACGAAGGGGAAAACGCCATGTTCCTATCTTATCGTGATGTTGTATAACGATGCTATGATGTTGTTGTTGTTGTCACAATCGTATCGTGACGGGCTTGTGTTGAATGGGCTATTCTTGCTACTACGTGGAGCCTGGTTACAATTAGCGGGTTAAGGTCGTCCGAGATTGGGGTATCACCAGCATAGTTGCTTTTGGATGATCGACGTCTCTATTCTTACGTCGCCATCGGGCCGTCCTCTGGTCCTGCAACCACTCTGGGATCAACTGTTGGATTTGGAGCAGTGGAGGGACCTTCATCTGGTCTCCCACTTCCTCTTCCCAGGGGTGACACCATCGAGTCGAACTGTCAATGGTATCACCATCTCAGGTTGTCGCTACTGCTGCTTATATTGCCATCTGCACATACTACACTTTATTCTATGATATACCCAAATTCATGGAGACTAAGATTCAGGTTGGTCCGCCGCTGCCGTCGCCTACGTGTCGTGGTCGTTCTTCTTCCTCATCGCATCCTTCAGCCCTCGAGATGGCCGACCGTCGGAACCCTGCTCTTCCAGACAGTCTTCCAAGTGAGTTCTCCATGTCCAACATTGGCTTAGTTTTACTGCGGACAGTCCATCGGGTTCACGCTGATGATGAGCTTTGGTATTGCCATGACGAGCTACCACGTTAGCCTTCCGGCTGAGGCCCCAACACTATGGGAGGCCTTTAGTGACATCACAATGTCATTCGTAAGGTTACTGTCAAACTCACCTTCTACTCACGATGAGCTCAGATCATCGGTGATTCCGGCACGTACTGGTACCATCGTATGCTCCACATCCCCGTGGGTGTATCGTAACATCCACAGTGTTCATCATCAGTACTATGAACCATATAGCTGGAGCGGTGTCGTCCTTCACCCCATTGAACATGTAGGCGTGGACCACTAGCGACTATAACGATTAGTTCCTTTCAGACCTGTAGTCTGGTAGTCTACTTCTGGTATCCCATCTTCATGGGTCACCACTGGTTGACTTTGAGCATATTCGCTTTCATTTGGGTGGCCTGGCTCCTCGAAGAGCACAGTGGTCACAACACATGGTATTACTGCTCGTTGAGTGTAAGGAAATCTCACTGTGATTCGTAGGTGGTCACCGTTCAATCTGTGGCCCTTCGAACTCGGTGGAGGCGCACCTGTAGGGGTGAATTGTGATTTATCGCGGGTCGATTTTTCATGTCTATTATTCAGCTTCATGACTTACATCACTCCGAGAGAAGTCAGAAGAACTACGCCCCAATTTTGAGGCTTTGGGATCGTATCTTCGATACGGAGACCCAGCCAAATCCCAAGTTCAAACCCGGCATGTATCAATTTTCCATTCTGCTCTGAAGGCTGATTTACTATGCATATAGGTTCGTCCATGTCACGGCGCTGCTCATGATTCTCTTATGTGTTGGGATTGGATACGAAAACGAGTAGGTGGAAGAGGAGTGCGCTGTCAATTACGCGTTAGTGACAATAAGGAACCTCTTGTTGGTAGTTTTTGTACAGTTCTACGCCCAGTCGTGTGTAGTGTAGCCTGTAAACATATATATCAACGCTAAGTAGTGTGTCCAAGACTACCGCGGTCCATTTCACTTATAATGTAACCCATCTGTGATTTGTGGGTTTACTACGTTTCACTGTGTATTATTCTGGGCAGTAATATCCTGCTGATATTCAACGCATACCTCCATCTATGATGATTCCGAAGGGGTCCAGGCGGTAGAGATCTCAGGTAGTGTCATCTTCAGATACATATCGCTACCCAGAGCGTTGTGATACACCAACAACTGGAGGGTTGTTGTATGTCGCATCGTCATTATCATTGTCTTCTCTTGCCTCGATTCTGCATGCCCGTGGCTGCTGCTGCTGATGATGATGATGAAGTATATATTGAGGTTGCGGTTTGGGTTTACTGCAGCAAGCCATCGGAAAGGCCTTTTCATTGCAGACAGTCTCCTTTTTGCCAAACATGACATCGATCGCTCCGTTGGCACGTATAGGTAAAGCGCCCACCGCTTTGTACACGTGCCTCCGTTGCGGGATTATTAAACGATTATCGGTTTATGATGTTGATAGTAGCTCTATTAAGTTTAATATCACTATCATTCTCTAAGGCTTAACTCCGTAGACAACGACACTTTTGAGTTAGCACTGGGAAGACCCGTCGTCCGTTCAATAGACAAGGCTGTGTGCGATGCTGGAATCGATTCTCAAAATCGATTTTCGGAATCGTTCCTGAAGTCGTGTTCAATAAACACGATGTTGAAAGTTGAAAATCTTCCAGAATCAATTCCGACTGGCGTTCACTAGACACGATTTTCAAAATCGATTCCAGCAAGGATTCCAGAATGAACAAATGAAATACGTGAGAAATGGGGTTCCCCAAGATGGAACCTGAGTTCACCAACAACACACTTTCAGTTCTACTTGCAGGATAATCCTGCCTGAGAGTCTCTTTAAGAGCGCTACCAGGGTTGGATTCCGTATGTAAAACTCGATCCTGGGAGCGGTCTTGAAACTCAGGGAGGTCTGCTGAACACTCCAACTATTTATTCATCAGAAACTTCGTACTCCTCAGGCGAGCGCATTCGTGCGCCAAGATACTCCCATAGAAACTGCAATTTCGACCGTGCGCTGTTTAGGAGACTTCAATATCGCACTAGGGGCATCATTTTCATTTCACCATGGAAAGCATAGCTCAGACCCGGGAGAGGCGCATATCCCAACTCCTCGAGCTGATCGATGAGGGCAGTAAACAGATGGTGCCTAAACTTCGTGGACCCTGTTTTTTAACACTGTATTTATTGACATTCTTGAATATTGTACTTGTCGTTAGTAACCAAATGACATGACTGTCGCCGGCTGTCAGATAAATAGCTTGTGCTTAGTGAATACACTTACCAAGTTCCGATAAATTTGCATATTACGTATTTATTGAGTAGAAATAAGATCGGAATATGACTAGATTATACCAAGCAACTGAAAAAGGCAAGAACACACTAACTACGAGAAAAAGAGACGGATAGCTGAGGTCTACGATGGAAAATACTGAAGATGGAGTATGTTGATCGTCTTACATGGATCTATCATCTGTTATAGTCATCCCCTTGAGCGACTTGCCTATGACGATGCACAACACGAACATCTGCCAGTATACACTCTATGCTGATTCCTGTGGGATCTTTTCAGGGACGGTAATACACAGGGGCTCTGCTAAAACTCCTCCATCGACAAGATGTAATTATAAATGGGTAGAATTGACGCTTACGGGCCGTAGTATACGGAATTCGAATCCGTAGTACACGGAATCGACAGCACTGTTCATGATAGTTCTACTGGCAGTTTCTTCCCTGGCAATCCATAATAACAACATCAACACAGAAAGATGAGCCAAAGAAACCCAGTCGTAGGGCATTCGCCGATTCAGTAAGGGGAAAGTGTGCATTTAAGACCCCTGAAAGGGCCGCACGATACGAACGTCGAAATAATCTCCATATTGCCGCAGTCACGAAGTGAGCTAATCAAGCCTTCTGACTCGCAAAAATATTCACCGTGGCGGCCGTCCATAAGAGTACAGTGAGTGAGAGGGCGATTGCTGGGATGACCATGCGACTTGACCTATGAGCCAAAAACTTACATACCCGAAGGCCTTGACAAAAGGGCTTACCTTCTACAGAGGTTCCGTTCGACGACGACTCCCTTTCGAGCGAGCATATCATCCTCAGCCCGGCAGCATGCGATGTAGACAAACGCCGGTATAGTTATCATCAATGGTGTAGCCATGTAAGCCGAAACGTAACCGATGAATGAGCCAACGTCAGGGACCTATCAAGAGATGTGTGGTGACACGAATGGTGACAGGTTCGCACCCAGATCGCTGTGATAAGGCAGATAGTGAGGACGACCGTGTTGAACAATATCCGCACTCCTGCGTGTTTGGCTAGATGGCACCGGTCTATGGCGTGAAAGAATGAGCTAGTAATCGGGAACAAATTGAGGGGACACGCGAATATAAGTGTCAGAGAGACTGCCTAAGAAGACAAACCATGGGAGGAAAACCAGTGAGACACGTCACTTACAACTCGGCATGCATTTACAGCCACATCATCTAGGGGGTAACTCTGAAGAAAATTTGAGGTGGTTGCCTGGCCAAAAGTTAGGTATCTACATATAGACGTGATGGGGAAAGGAGGGTCGGTGAGGAGGCTCACACTGCTGATAGGAGGGTAGCATAGCATAGAAAGAGACCGAGGGCCGCCCATCCGCATACAGCAGTTAGTCGTTGTCGTGTTGGTTTGTGGAGCTCAGAGGTGATGCACACTGCGTTTACTTGGTTCATGTAGGCGAACGTGCCCATAGACAAGGCATGCATCACTGAGATAGATGAACATCGTGTACGCATCAGTCTTGTTGTGATTTACCTTGGCGCCAGTTGAAGCCGAGAGGCGTCATGTTATTTGGTCGGTCCGTGTCTAACTCTGACCATGGTATTTTGCACAAGGCGAGGACAGCAGTAGATAGCATGACCCAGATGCTGAAGGATCCAACTGCCCTCAAGGAGGAGATCTCGCTGCCCACAGAGAGAGGCAATACGACGATGTAAACGATGCTGACCAGGGCTAGAGTACGGCTGAGGGAAATCTGGAGCCACGCTTGAAGGACAGATGGAATGAAGTCGCCGAGGAAAATGAGGTAAGTGACAATAGCGGCTCCTTGGTACACCGTCATAAAAGCGTCGAAGGCTGGTAGTCTATAGTTGCCTCTGTCAAGATTGCCTTTACTGTTCGCCAGACTCCACGCGAGAATACCACCATAGGTTTTCTGGCCAGATATGCTCACGGCTTGGCCGAGGATCGCATCACTGATGGCTGTGATGAGCCCTGCGACCATCAATATAAAGATACCAAGATAGAGGCCAACGTCCTTAGCGGCCGAGGGCAAAGCCAAGACGCCGCTGCCGATCGAAGCAGTGAATAGCAGAGTACTACACGAGAAGGGGGAGCCAGCGTCGAAGAAGCCGGGTGGACCACGTGCGGCTGGGGTTAGGTCCGGTAGTCTACCAGGCGATAGAAGGGGCGTCGCTATGGCCATTCAGCTCGTTAAGAAGCCTATGTGAGGGTGATTGGCAAGGGCTAGTTGGCTAGTTGGCGGTGGAGATGGAGACCGTGACCTGTCCCTGTCCAACAGGTGTGTACAGTAGAAGGAAGTCCCGAGTGGAGAATGATAGGTGCTATGAGGATATGTGATACGCGATAACTTCGTTTCGAGGATCGCCTCTAAGTTCTGAATAAGTTAACAATGCGGTTTCTAAGATTCGTAGTTACTGTGACGCTCTTTCGATTAAGGCGCGTTCCTTATCGATGATCTGGGCGTGCGCGGAGATTTCGATCTTGCGTGAATTTGCGACATTATGGGCTGTAAGAGCACTTTGCGTGTTGGTGTTATCGTAATGGTGCTGCCAACACTCGCTCGTCGAATGGCGGTCTCGACCCGTCCACCTTGTCGCATGGTTCTTAGTAGGGGCTATAAGACTGAGAATCCTCTGTACAAGGACGATGTGAGAAAATATGCAACCAACACGACTGCAATTGATTTATCGTTCAGGAGCCCTTCGCCAAAACCTGTCACACTTTCGACTACACTAGAGAGGGGACGGAAAAGAACGGCCTCGGCTACTACTGCTTGATGGGTCTCTGGGCCAGCATCTTCATTTGGGATAGCCTTTACACTGGAGCTACCATGTAAGCCAGATACGCCAGATTTACGGTATGCGATTTCTTCTCCTCAGGCCGACTGGTGTCCATCGTTACGTTTGGGGGCCATATTTCCCTACGGCGTGGTTTTAAGAAAGCCCGCAGGAAATAATTCTTCACAGCCAATCGCGAGGGCGTTGGCAAATGACAACAATCGATAAGAGGTCAATTTTGGCGTATCATGTAGAGAGAGACACATTATCATTTTGAAAGCTACTACTTGTGTTATCAACTATAACTTCGAGCGCCGCTTTGATCAAGGCGGTTCCTGTAGTAGTGGTGCTCTCAACAACACCTTCAGCAACCCCTGCTATCACTTCCTTTAATGCTGGACAAGAGACCAGTGCTGTATCGTGTCACAGTCCAACACTGGTCTGGTCTCAGTCACCGCGCAGAATGCCGCGGTAGTGATGTTGCTCATAACCGTTCAATATCGAAGCGTTATGTGACACATGCAGGTTAGAAGATTGAATTTTGCGCGGTGTTGGAAGAATATGTCATGGTCGACTTCGTGTGTGCGTGATAATACGAAGATTCTGAGGGAACTTAAGAAATTTTTTTTTGATTCATGTACTCTAACTTGGAGAGTGCGGAGTGCTAGGAGGTGTAAATGCACGAGCTAAGAATGCCCACAAGGTATACGATGGTTCTCCAAATGGTGCGAGTTGGGCGATTAACAGGAGCAATAGCGGTGATTGTGGTGGCGATATGAAAGCTTGTGTAGTCATTAGTCCCCCGGACTGTATTTCTTCTCTTTCGAGTGCGTTGGACAGGGCCTTTGGTATTGACCGAGATACCATTCTTATTATCATCTGGCAGCCTTGTCGTTTGGAGTAGCCCAACCCATTACTCTTCGACACCCACAACGAAAGATGCAAATTACGTGCAACACAAGACAGTTAAGATTTTTCTTCTTTGCGTGTCGTAGATCTGGATGTGTCATCAACAACATCGCGTTACTAGCGGGTTGACGATAAAGGAACATCGTTAACATCAGCACAGACTATAAATAGTAACTACTAGAAATTGAAATAATACCCTAGTATTAACAACATGCCACAACGGCATAATCATAGCCAAGCAGCTCCCTTAAGCGGCAAGCTTCTTAGCCCTCTCACAAATGTTCTCAGCAGTAAAGCCAAACTTGGCCTTCACATCCTTAGCGGGACCAGAGGCACCAAACGTAGTCATTGCAATCCACTCATCAGCGTACCTCTCGAATCCGAGGGGACTGGCGGCTTCAACCATCAACCTCTTGACACCCTCAGGGAAGACAACCTTCTTGTAATCATCAATTTGCTTCTCGAAAAGATCCCAAGAGGGCATAGACACAACACGAGCATCAACGCCCTGTTCAGTTAGCAGCTTTTTAGCCTCCACAGACTGGAGAACCTCAGTGCCACTGGCGATGATAATGACCTTCTTGTCACCCTTGCCAGAGAAATCATCAATAATATAAGCACCCTTCATAGCACCCTCAGGAGAGGAATGGTCGAAGGTGGGAAGTCCGGAACGACTAAGAATGAGAGTAGTAGGGCCTTCCTTGTTGTTCAAGTAGGCCATATAGGCACCGACGGTTTCGCGGCCATCACATGGTCTGATAGTGCTCATGTTAGGGGTAGCACGCAACAAGGGGAGCATCTCAATAGGCTGATGAGTAGGACCATCCTCACCGAGATCGATGGAGTCATGGGTCATGACATAGAGGACCTGTTGTTTCGAGAGGCATGAGAGTCTGACAGCACCCCAGCAGTAGCCTATGAAGTTGACGAAGGTGGCTCCGAATGGAAGGAAGCCACCATAAGCGTGCATACCATTCAAGATAGCAGCCATACCGTGCTCGCGAATACCGAACTCCATGTAGCGGTTCTGCATGGCACCCTTCTGCATGACGGGGAATTTGCCCATATTGGTCATGTTGGAGGCAGTCAGATCAGCTGACCCTCCAACGATCTCAGGGAGGCGCTCCATGAGAGCAGCAAGCACCTCGCCACTGGTGACACGAGTGGCCTTCGCCTTGTCACCAGGCCGATACTTGGGAATGCACTCGTCCAAATCAATGGGTAGTTCTCCCTTGAAGCGTCTGACGAGCTCAGCATATTCAGCAGGGTAAGCCTCGGCAAACTTAGCGAGAAGATCGTCCCACTCCTTGTTGGCCTTCTCACCGCGAGCAAGGGCGCTCTGGTAGAGACTGCGGACCTCAGCGGGGATCTCGAAGTGCTTCTCAGGGTCGAAGCCAAACTCCCTCTTCACATTGGCGAGATCGTCGTCACCCAAGGGAGACCCATGGACTTTGGACGTGCCCTGCTTGGCCGAGCCATAACCAATGGTGGTATGGACCTTGATGATAGTAGGCTTGTCAGTGCACTTCTTGGCCTCCTCAATCTTGGCGAGGATGTCAGAGAGATCAGTATCACCCTTAGCGACCTCAAGGACCTGCCACTGCATACCTTCGAACCTCTTAGTGATATCCTCAGTGAAGGCAATGTCCGTGTTACCATCAATGGTGATATGGTTATCATCATAGAGCAGGATGAGGTGACCAAGGCCATAGTGACCAGCAAGAGCACAGGCCTCGGAACTGATACCCTCCTCGAGGCAACCGTCACCACAGATAGTATAGGTGTAGTTGTTGAAGATCTCATACCCCTCACGGTTATAAGTAGCAGCAAGGTTAGCTTGAGCAATAGCAAGACCAACAGCGTTGGAGATGCCCTGACCAAGAGGGCCAGTAGTGACCTCCACGCCTTCCAAGAGCTCTCGCTCAGGATGGCCAGCAGTCCTAGAACCCAACTGACGGAAGTTCTTCAGCTGCTCCATATCGACATCCTTGTAACCCGCAAGATGCATAAGCACATACTGCAAGGCGCAGGCGTGGCCGTTGGAGAGGACGAAGCGATCCCTGTTCCACCACTGAGGATTGGCAGCGTTGTATTTCATAGCGTGGGCATAAAGGGCATGACCCATAGGGGCACAGCCCATAGGGGCACCAGGATGACCAGACTTGGCCTTCTGGACCATCTCTGCTGCGGTGCATCTGACAAGCACATCGATAAATTTTTGAAGGAAAACGCTTTGGAGTGAGGACTTACCGGATGGTGTTAATAGAAAGTTGATCCAAATCGCTGCCAGACATTGTTTTTCTCAATTTCGCTGCTGAGTGGCCTTGTGTAAAGGTTGCTGGTAAAGTGAAGCTAAAGGCTTAAAGCGTCCCCTCTACTGTGTTAGCTATGCTTATGGCGCAGATAGTAATAAATTACCGCGAGTGTGGTATTATAGTTGACTTCTATAAAAGGGGGTACAGAGCATCCTGCGAAATCTCTAATGCAAGTGTGGTTGCGTGAGGCAGACTTTCACCCTTACGTTGATGGTTGTGTGATTCGGGGCAGAACTATGAGATTGTTTCGAGGCTCGTTTCATACGACTTGTTCGTCATAGTACTCAACACCAATTCGAACATGGTGTGGTACTTTAATAAAGAGAGTTAGCAATCGGACCATTGATTTCTTCAGTGAGAACAGCCTTGAAAGTCACTACCAGCGATAATCGTAGTGAAACCAACAACAAAATTCAACACCCAAGAGTCAGGCTCTGAATGTCCATGAACACGGGGAAGCTAGCTTCACCATCAAAGTGGGCTATGAAGCCACTAGAGGCCTCTTACAATAGTAACACCAACAATAGTACTGGCCCTATAACCTAGGAGGCCTTTCAAGGAAGAAGCGTCTCCTTATAATTTAGGAGGCAAAGAAGCGTGAGGAAGGAGGCTGGGGAACTCACGTAAAATCTTCAAGGAAGGGGCTAGGAAGCTGCACCTTATAACACTTAGGAGCCGTTCCTCAAGGTCCTGAGCGAAATAACCTTAGGAGCGCAAGGTTGGTCGGACTCACAGGGGTGGATTCAGTGAAGCTCGACGAGACCAGTCCTGGGATCGCTCTCGAAGATCAACCGATCCCAGAGTCAGTCTTAGGGGTGGTCCACTGAGCAGATTTTTGCTTCGATCAATCCCGGGATCGATCGTGAGTATCAATG